GGAGTTGGACTGCCTGTGCAACCACTGTGGGTCCAGGTATCACCTCATGCTACCAGTAGTGACACTGACCCTAGCCAAATGCAAAGCTAGTGAAAAACAGTCAGAAAAGATGAGGAGGAAAAAAAAATGTCAGTGGCCTCCACCTGTAAAACCATTCCTGTTTTGGGAGTCACTCATTGCTGCCCATCTGGTGCACCTATTGTTAATTTCATTATCACCAATGCAGCTGAAACTGATTAACAACCCCCTTTGCTACGTAACTGACCAGATCAATATCCCAGGAGTTTAATTGACTTGATGCTATACTCTGATTAAAAAGTGTTCCTTTAATTTTTTTGAGCAGTGTATATACCACATATTAGCAAATTATTACAGACCTACCCAGGGGTGGACTGACAACTCATGGGGCCCCCGGGCAATAGGGGATCATGGGGCCCCTGTGTCCTTGCCCAAACTCAAAAAAGCCTATGAAAAAGGTACCAGGGGCATCTCATGGGGACCCCTACTGACCCCGGGCCCTCGGGCAGTGCCTGAGTTTCCAAATGGTCAGTCTGCCCCTGGACCTACCCTCACCTGGTGCTTCCGTCTCCTCTCATTTTTTCTTTGGGTTTGTGGGATCCAGACGTTCAATAGCTGGGGCCTCGATTACATCACTCCAACGCATGTGCACGTAGACCTGGCTGCGGCACAGCACTCTGCAATTCATAGCATACGGTGTACCCTGAATGCAAAGCGTCACTGCGTATGCGCGGGTGATGTCATTGGCTCTTACTACCTTTTATACAGTGTATGTAAACCTTAACAAATAACTTCTCTTATTTGCTTTCTTCTGGTCTCTTTTCTATATGCCATCAGAACCATTATGTTAAGTGCAAAAAGTTGCTCCTGTCAGAAATTCAAGCTGTCCTGTGTTCTCTGCACACTTCCTATGTTAGCTCGTAGAGTCCTCCTAGTTGTTATCTTGGACTACGGAATAATTAGCCTTTATGTTGTGGAAATCTGAGAGTGTTGAGTAGTTTAGCAAAAGACACATGCACAGGGCTGGCACCATTCAGTATTAAAAAAAAAAAAAAAAAAAAAGTTGTGTTTTGTCAGCTCACAACAGGGTTTAGTAGCGGAGTGCATTTCTCGGCAGATCCAAAAGTAATTCTGCACTTGCAGGGACTTTAAAGTGATTAAACACAAGGATATGTATCGCATATGTTATTTTGCTTTGACTTACGCTTTAAAGCAGTATTAAACCCATAACCAAACATTTTATTATAGTGCAGCTTCCCAATTCTTAGATGTGATGGCTGCATTAGTTTTCTTTTTTAGGCATTCTTTCTTTTATTCTCTTAAAGTTTAGGAGAGAAATCTTAAGATTAGGAGAGAAAAGGAACAGGAGGCGCTAAACTAAGTGCAGTATGTTATTGTAATATTTAATTGGTAGGGATAAAAACACTCACAAGAACAAAATTAAAATAAGCTCATCTGTGTTAGGATGTGAGACCACTCTAGTCTGTCCTGTAGGGTACCTCTGGCTAGATGTGAGTGCAGTGGAGAGGATCTTCCTATGGGTGTAGAGGTGTAATGGAGCCAATCAACGGCATCTGTTTCTGGAAGAAGCCACACTACACACACATGGAATGCACCGGTGGATCAGGGTCAGATGTAGGAGATGCCAGGAACACAGAAGACAGGCTCCATGTGCGTAGCGCTCGATTACACCTTTACACCCACAGGAAGATCCTCTCCACTGCACCCACGGCTTTACCATCTAGCTGTCGTCCTGACAAACCGGCGGTACCCTACAGGACAGACTACACCGCGTTCCAAAATTATTATGCAAATTCTATTTTAAGTATCACAAAGATGAAATATTTTGTTTTTCAGTTTAACTCATGGATGGCATTGTGTGTCAGGGCTCTTTTGATCACTGAAAACAATCTCGGACACCTGTGATAATTAGATTGGCTGGTGAGCCCAATTTAAGGAAAAACTACTAAAGGAGGGTGTTCCACATTATTAAGCAGAGCACCATTTTCAAGCAATATGGGGAAGAAAAAGGATCTCTCTGCTGCCGAAAAGAGTGAAATAGTTCAATGCCTTGGACGAGGTATAAAAACATTCCATATTTCACAAAAATTTGCGGCTGATTCAGAGCACAGACGGGTTCGTGCAGATAAAGGCACATTGAGGAAGATTTCTGCCAGATCCATGCATCGGATGAAGAGAGCAGCTGCTAAAATACCATTACATAGCAGCTAAAAGATATTTGAAGCTGCTGGTGCCTCTGGAGTCCCACGGACATCAAGGTGTAGAGTCCTCCAAAGTCTTACAACTGTGCATAAACCTTCTATTCAGCCACCACTAACCAATGCTCACAAACAGAAACAGCTGCATTGGGCAGAAAAATACATGAAGACTAATTTTCAAACAGTCAGTCCTGTTCACTGATGAGTGCCGTGCAACCCTGGATGGTCCAGATGGATGGAGAAGTGGATGGTTGGTGGACAGCCACCCTGTTCCAACAAGGCTGCGACATCAGCAAGGCGATGGTGGAGTCATGTCTTGGGCCTGAATCATGGGAACAGAGCGGGTCAGCCCCTTTAGAGCCCCTGAAGGTGTAAAGATGACCTCTGCAAAGTATGCAGAGTTTATGACTGACCACTTCCTTCCCTGGTACAGAAGTACTATGCTTTCCGTAATAAAATCATCTTCATGCATGACAATGCACCATCTCATGCTGCAAAGAATACCTCTGCATCAATGGCTGTTATGGGGATAAAAGGAGAGAAAGTCATGGTGTGGCCTCCATCCTCCCCTGACCTCAATCCTATTGAGAACCTTTGGAGCATCCTCAAGCAAAAGATCTATGAGGGTGGGAGGCAGTATACATCCAAACAGCAGCTCTGGGAGGCTATTCTGACATCTTGCAAACAAATTCAAGCAGAAACTGTCCAAAAACTCACAAGTTCAGTGGATGCAAGACTTGTGAAGCTGCTATCAAATAAGGGGTCCTATGTTACAATGTAACGTGACCTGTTAAAATGTTTAAAAAGTTAAAATGTTGTTAAAAGATTTGATTGAAATAGCTTTTGATTTCAGTAAATATGCTGCAAACACAACAATTGACAATTTTCAGTTCTTTACAACCTATAAAATGTTTTGAAACTTACTGTGCGTAATAATTTGGAACAGTGCATTGCAAGTTTTTTATGTTTAAAAAAAAAATCCTGTTATCATTAGGAGGTTTGTTCAATAAAATGTGAATTGTACTCTTAATAGTTGATAACATGAGAATTATGCCGACTGTTATTTAAATCAATTATTTAGGTAAATGAGAAAAATATAATTTGCATAATAATTTGGAACACGGTGTAGAGTGGTCTCACATCCTAACACAGATGAGCTTGTTTTAATTTTTGTTCTTGTGAGTGTTTTTAATTCCTTCCAATTAAATATTACAGTAACATACTGCACTTAGTTTGGCGCCTCCTGTTCCTTTTCTCTCCTAATCTTTGTACACAGAGCTGGCCCTGCTCTATAGGATGGCTGCCGCTAATCACGCTGACCCCAGAGACTTCTTCATAGACTTTATTCACCTTTTATGTACACTATATGATATATGTGTTTATCATGTGCATCAGTGCACTTTCTTGTATTCTCACCTGGTAATTCAACCAGTAATCTATTGATTTTTAACAGAACAAGCTGTCCTGCAGATGTTGAGACAAACCATTTAACACTGACAGGGGCACTTACAATGATCAGCTTTTGTTATGTAAAACCTTTACTAAAACAAATTTAAAAAAATGCTGTAACTGCTTAAAAAGTGTGAGCTGGAGTTTGGCATCAATCTGTTAGTGTATTTAAATCTGATAGTACATCTAACACTCCCCAAACTTACAACACTGCTGTCCAAAGGTGTCTCTGTTGCTCCTTCATCCAGAGTGTAGGCATTCTAATACAAGAGGTGTGTTATTGACCAGATCACCAGGTGAAAATAGAGGGGGAAAAAAGCCAAAAAAAAAGAAAACGAATCAAACCACCAGATCTGTTAATTGGTAAGTTGCAGTATATTACATTTTTGGTTTTGGGTTTAATACCATTTTTAAAAAGTGAAGACGGCTGGCATAGGTTGCAGGACAAGAAAGTATAACATCTCCTCTTTATAGGGGAAATCTTATTTGCTAATTTAAAATTTTATGCCATTTTAAGGTAAAACTCCAGTCCAGACTTTTGTTATTTGAGTGTTCGCTTATTTGGGTGATTTTTTTTCCCCCTTTACTCCCCTGTTGATAGGACAGTGAGCAGGAAATCCATTGGTAGAGCATTTTAGTATTGGAATAGTCTGTAGACTGGTAGGCCTTACGGTGAATTCACACCACAACACAGAGCAGCCGGGATGAGTCACCTCTCCACCTTGCCAACTGTGCTCGGGAGGGGTAGTGTGGTGTGCAATTCAGCGCATTACACAGCTTCCCCTTTTTTTAATTATTTGTACAAGCTTTATTTGAAGTGTACAAAACATTCACTTCATTTATTTCAGGTACTTCTAAAGCGCCGTCAATTTACACAGTGCTTTACATTTATATAATGTACATTCACATCAGTCCCTAACCCTCAAGGGCTGTACAATCTAAGATCCCTAACTCACATTACATACACATACTAGGGCCAATTTAGACAGGAGCCAATTAACCTACCAGCATGTCTTTGGAGTGTGGGAGAAAACCAGAGTACCCGGAGGAAACCCACGCAGGCACAGTGAGAACATACAAATTCCAGGAAGGTGGTGCCGTGGCTGGGATTTGAACCAACGACCCTGGTACTGCCAGGCCGAAGTGCTAACCATTTAGCCAATGTGCTGCCCATTCGCTGCTATGTTGGTCACTTTCTCACATTGTGGTGCGAGTTGGCCTGGTGTATTGCGATACAATGCAGCATGTCTGCAATTTACCGCAGCAATTGTTTCCTGTGTGTCCCTGCGGTGTCAAACAGTTTGCCGTGTGCAGGGGCGGACTGACCATTCGAGCACTTTGGCACTGCCCGAGGGCCCGGGGTCAGTATGGGGCCCCATGAAATGCCCCTGGTACCTTTTTTTTAAGGTTTTTTTAGTGTGGGCAAGGACACAGGACCCCCATGATCCCCTATTGCCCGGGGGTCCCATGAGTTGTCAGTCCACCCCTGGCCGTGTGGACGTCTGTTACCACATATAATGTGAACTGGCCCTTACATGCAGTTTAGCATCTATATAAGAAAGAGCGAGCGAGCTAACTGAAATATTCACGTGTATTGAGCAAATGTATTTTTCAGTGCTTTTTATTTACTAACTGAAACCGTTGTTTAGGCTTTTAACTGTGCTGCATGTTGTTTCTTATACAGTAATCATGCTGGGTAATAAAATGTTTTCTGCAGTTAAAGGAAAACTCCACTTTCATGGGGAAAAAATATAAAATAAAGAAAATGAATATAGTATATACAAATGCTACACAAGTTGCACTGTATATGAATGTTATTAAAAATGATCTCCCTTTTTCAGTGTCCAACCCTGCAATGCAATATGGCAACTTGGAGGAGTTCTGTACACAGAAATGTCATTTCAGGCTTGAGTGATTGTCTTTTCCCAGAAGCCTGCATTAAGATACCAGTCAGATTTTGGGCATCCTCTGCAACAAAAACATAATTTGTTGTGTGACTCCCAAAGGGAAATTATATCTAGAGGGATTCAGGCCCTACCTACTTTCCTCATTAGAACAGCTGATTGCATAGCTTTTTTTTCCAGCTGGAATCACTGAATGTATGTAATGGCAAGGGGTGGTGGTATGTGCTGGAGGATCTATTATTGCTGATTGTTGGGAGGGTCTATTGTTGCTGGAGAGGTCTGTTGGTTGTTGGGACTATTGCTGCTGGAAAGGTCTATTGTTGCTGGTGGGGGATCTATTGTTACTGGGGGTCTTATGTTGCTGGGTGGGATCTACTGTCGTGGGAGGGAGTCTTTGGTTGCTGGCTGCTGGAAGGTCTATTGATACTGGCTGTTGGGAGATCTATTATCGCTGGAGATGATCTACTGTGGGGATATTTATTGAGAGGGGGCTGTTGTTGGGGAAATCTAATGTTGCTGGTGAGATCTATTATTGCTGGGGGTCTATTATTATGAGTAGGGGATCCATTTGGCTGCTTTTCTTGTTATCATTAACAAATTCCATACGAATTGCTTAATGCCACAATATAAAACTCTGTTCAGTATTTTAAAGGGCAGTACTGGGAGGAGGGTAGGGGGAGGAACCAAGGGATGGTGCTCGGAGGTGGGTAGGGAGCAGAGACCAGGGGTGACTTGGCAGGGGAGGGTACCTGCACCTATTCTCTGCGGGAAAATTATAAAGTCACTCCATTAACCTTCACTTTGCACATGGACAAAGACAAACAGCTATTTCTTCAGAATAACAAAAGGTAGTAATCTGCAGCAAAGTTAGTTACAATTCTTGCAATGTACATTGATCACCCAGAAGGCAAAGTTTTTTTTTTTAAGATGGAGTTACTCTTTAACTTTAAAATAAATTGGATCCATGTTCCAGTTGAATTTGTATAAATTCATCGTTTGTTCTCTCGGTGAAATGCTCACTCATCCCATACATTGTTGAAATATTTCCCTCTAGGCTAATATTTACTGTAGACTCCCTATCTCCTGAGATGATGGAAACATTCTGAACTGAGGTTCTATAGCTTGCAAATATAGATATTTTTTTTACTCTGAGTATCAATGAAAAATAAAAGGAGACTTTTTTTGTTCAAGCAAAAGTGTGTAGTTTCCCTCAGCCCTTCCCTTGTAGCAAACATCAAATAACACATAATTTAATGCTGGGTCCAAATTGTTTTTTGGGGATGTCCAATGGCAATATATTTGTGATGGGAGTTCCTGACTTTGCTTCACCCATCCATGGAAGCAAAATAGGTGGCTGACTCAAATGACTGTCGACCCAAAATTTAAATGTCAGTTTTGAGAGGTTTATTTCTCTAAATTTCAGAAATCAAAGCTATGAATATGTTACAGGATTACGAGATCTGAGTGATAAAAATGCAGCCTGCAGTATCTGAATCAAAAGGAGAACAGAAAACACATGTGGCTCACTTGCTCATTCTGAGTTTAATGTGACAAACAGATAATTATGTCCTTTATAGAGGCAACACAGGTCACATGGAAAAGCACATCAATTTGTGTATGCGAGTTACCATTACTAACATATAGGATACTAAACAGAGAAAGTGACTGTCAGAAGCAACACAAAACTAAACAGAGACAGCATAAACCAAGTGTGACTAATCTGAATCAAGAAGAGAACAGAAAACACATGTTGTGCACTTGCTGATTCTGAGTTTAGGGTTCATGCACATTGGCTTTAAAGACATCTAGAGGAGTTTAGCATTTTGCGAATAGAAGCAGTTCAGTGTTATCCTATGTGCCCATGCACATTAGGACATTTAGAGGCATATTTTAAGGTCAACGTTTAGAGGCAGAGAAAAAACCCCTTCTGGCAGAATAAAACTCTGAATACTCCTTGTAAAGCAGCCGATCAAACCAATCATGGTTTGATCACCTGCTTTGGAGGCCAGAGGAGAGATATGAGATCTAATTGACCCCAGATCTCTCCAAAAAGAAGACCTGTCATGCAGGGGTGTATCATGAAGTCAGTGGGCCCATGTGCAAGATCAAAAGTGGGCCCTAGGCATCGAGAAAGACGTGGCAAAAAATGGGCATAGTTTAAAATGTGCTAAATATTGGGCGTGGTTTAAAGAGGTGTGGTTAGTGTTTAACAAATCTTGGATGCAATTACGAAGGAGTTCACTGCTGGCTGTAGAATGCTTACTTCAGAGATTTCCTTTTCATTCCTTTTTTTCTTAAATATTGTCCAGCTTTCTTCATTACTTAGACAGGCTCTTAGTAAGGTGCATTAAGATGCATTAAGATGAATGAACGAGGAACTGTTTACCTAATCACCAATATGGAGTGTATGGTAGTGGGTGGTATGTACAGGAGAGAGGTGCGAAGTGTATGGTGGCAGGTGGTATGCATAGGAAAGGAGTGCAGAGTGTATGGCGGTGGGTGGTATGCACAGTAGAGGGGTGTGGGGTGGTATGTACAGGAGAGAGGGTGCAGAATGTATGGCGATGGGTGGTATGTACAGGAGAGCGGGTGCGGAGTGTATGGCGGTGGGTGGTATGTACAGGAGAGGGGGTGAGGAGTGTATGGCGGTGGGTGGTATGTACAGGAGAGGGGTGCGGAGTGTATGGTGGTGGGTGCTATGTACAGGAGAGGGGGTGCGGAGTGTATGGCGGTGGGTGGTATGTACAGGAGAGGGGGTGCGGATTGTATGGCGGTGGGTGGTATGTTCAGGAGAGGGGGTGAGGAGTGTATGGCGGTGGGTGCTATGTTCAGGAGAGGGGGTGCAGAGTGTTTTGGCGGTGGGTGGTATGTACAGGAGAGGGGGTGAGGAGTGTATGGCGGTGGGTGGTATGTACAGGAGAGGGGGGTAAGGAGTGTATGGCGGTGGGTGCTATGTCAGGAGAGGGGGTACGGATGTATGGCGGTGGGTCGTATGTACAGGAGAGGGGGTGAGGAGTGTATGGTGGTGGGTGCTATGTTCAGGAGAGGGGGTGCGGAGTGTATGGCGGGGGTGGTATGTACAGGAGAGGGGGTGCGGAGTGTATGGCTGTGGGTGGTATGTACAGAGAGGGGGTGAGGAGTGTGTATGGCGGTGGGTGGTATGTACAGGAGAGGGGGTGAGGAGTGTTGGCGGTGGGTGCTATGTACAGGAGAGGGGGTACGGAGTGTATGGCGGTGGGTCGTATGTACAGGAGAGGGGGGTGAGGGGTATGGTGGTGGGTGCTATGTTCAGGAGAGGGGGTGTGTATGGCGGTGGGTGGTATGTACAGGAGAGGGGTGCGGAGTGTATGGCTGTGGGTGGTATGTACAAGAGAGGGGGTGAGGAGTGTATGGCGGTGGGTGGTATGTACAGGAGAGGGGGTGAGGAGTGTATGGCGGTGGGTGCTATGTACAGGAGAGGGGGTGCGGAGTGTATGACGGTGGGTGGTATGCACAGGAGAGGGGGTGCGGAGTGTATGGCGGTGGGTGGTATGCACAGGAGAGGGGGTGCGGAGTGTATGGCGGTGGGTGGTATGCACAGGAGAGGGGGTGCGGAGTGTATGGTGGTGGGTGGTATGTACAGGAGAGGGGGTACAGAGTGTTTGGCGATGGGTGGTATGTACAGGAGAGGGGGTGCGGAGTGTATGGCGGTGGGTGGTATGTATAGGGGGGCTTTAGAAACTGCAGCTTGGCATTGCATGCCATTATTAAGCTTGTGATCTACCAGAACTCCCATATCCTTCTCCACCATTGATTTCCCCAGTTGTACCCCCCCTAGTATGTATGATGCATGCATATTCTTAGCCCCTAGTGCTGGGGAATCTCGTACCTTAAAGCGAAGCTCCACTCAAAAGGGAAAGTTCCACTTTAAAGACTGGTCCCTCCTCCCCATTAAGGATTGGTACCTTTGGGGAGAGGGTACCTGTCAATTTTGGGTACCTGCTCCCCAAAAGTGTCAATCCTTAATGCCTAGGCGATCAGAAATGGAAGTTGTCCTCCCTGGGACACGTGACAGGTCCTAGAAGACTACGGGACCATTTAGAAAGTGCAGCGCTACTCGCGCATGTGCAGTGGGCAGCTGGCTGTGAAGCCGCAAGTTGTCACAGCCGTGTGCCCACACTGAAGATGCTGGTGTCAGGATAGCCGGTGAAACAGGCTGCAGGGGAAGACACCTCGGGATTGAGGGACAGGCGAGTGGTTGTTCTTTACATTGTTCCCACCCGGCCAGTAGCAGACTGACGGCTGAGCGGGACTCTCGTCGATCCGGGTGGGCGTCATATGACGTTCTTCGCGGATTGCGTATCGCGCATGCCTGCAGGATTGCGCTGTGGTGAGATCTGTCTCCGGCTGTGTACCTCGAACACAGCTGATGACAGATCTGTGTACCAGCCCTTGCCAGTACCATGTGGCCTGCTGTGACCAATCACAGCAGGTCACATGACAATTGTAAACAATGAATGGCTTCGTTTCATGCCATCCATTGTATACAATTGTGTCACTAGCTGTGATTGGCCACAGTGATCA